TATTTTAAATTTTTTTTTTTTTTTTTTTTTTTTTTTTTTTTTTTTTTACATTTTTTATTTATTTACTTTTTCCACTTAATGTTTTTCCTATTACATAGGGCATTAAAATCCCTTATGTGATAGTTTAGAGGTGACAGGTTCTCTTTATGGACCCTGCCCTCCAACACAGAACAGCTGTATTTACAGCGGGGGTGCGGACAGAAACGATCGCCGCTGCTCAAATTGATACAAGTGGTCTGATCAGACCACTTGTAGTAAACGAGCGGCGGCGGCTCCACAATGTACATTCAGCTCTGCTTGTCCGGAGCCGGGCTAAATGTACATAAAAACTACTCGCCCGGCGCCCGAAACTGCATGTCCTGGGCGTCGAGCGATAGGAATTCCACACCCCTGAGCTAGTGTTAGATCCTACTCACCACTTGTAATATCTGGGCTTACTCTTAAGAACAAGCCAGATTTTTTTTGTTCCCCTGGAGAAAATAAATCTGTCCGCTTCCAGACATGAACTCTCTAGTCCAGTTTCTCTAGTGTTTCCTGTTGCCCACCCCTGTATAGGCACTTCTTTGGGACATCCTAATTGTGCAGGTTACGAGCTTTGTTCATCAATGACTAAGAGAATAGGATTTTTGTACTTGCTATTAAACCTTTTTTCTCTGAGTTCATTGACTGACACAGCACCTACACCCTGTAGTCTTGTTGCCTGTTTTGCAGAGTATTTAAGTTTGTTTGTTTTTTTGTTTTTAATTTTAGTCTTGTTTACTAACTGAGCTCTAAAGGAAGTAAAGGGGTTCGGCCGCCAGCAAAGGCTGGCTCTAGCAGTTGTTTTGTACCCTGTCGTCCTGCAGATGGCAGTATAATACAAGTTAAGAGAGCTGTGTCCTTTAATCAACTGAACAGTGATGACTAAAAAAAATCTATTTTTCTGGAAGATCTTGTTCTCATTTCTTTAGGTGTTAGGGTTTAGAGCCTATATTAATGATTGTTAGAAGGGCGAGACTGGTGGAGGTTCTAAATTCTTGCTGAATTCTTCCATCCCTCAGAATCAGTGGCACTTAAATTAAAAGATTAAAATGTAATGTTTACTGCCCCAACTTTTCCTTTCCCATCTGCAGTATATGCCCCCACATACTTCTTTGATAATTACTGGGGTGTTTCCGTTCCGTGAGGTGGCTGGTTGGTGGCACTCTGTCATTATTATACAGGATTTATATAGCGCCAACAGTTTGCACAGCGTTTTTCAATATAAGGAAGACATTACAATCACAATACAAGACAAGATGGTAAGGAGGGCCCTGCCTGTGAGGGCTGTCATGGAATATAATGCAAAAGTGTTTTACGTGTGATTGTTAGTCTAATATTTTAAAGTTTTATACATGCTGTCAGTAGCATGTACTTTTACATGTGCTTTTTACCCAACAGGCTTTATCGGGCGTTAAGATTTACAAATTTGTGATGCCTGTATTTCCCACACCCTTCTTTGGCTAGCCACAGTATTATAGGCTGCCTACAGAAAGTTACATGGGGGTGGAGACAAAACCAGTAACCCTGCACAAGCAGGAAGTTTCTGCAATGGCCCATCACTATTGCTCTCGAGTAAAGTTTCTTGTTGGATTATTGCACAGATCTGGTAGAGTATGTACAAATATTTAGACAATATTTGCTTATCACAGAGTTAGGCGTAATAGCTTATTATTAGCTGCCACAGTTATGTTCACACCACCAATAGAAGCCTAATTGGATAGGTGGCTGTATACAGTAAAGCATTTTTTGTTTGTTTTGTTAAACCTTATAGCAAATCAGTTTTTCTTTGTCTGAAATATAGATTATAGATTTATCTAGGGCCTGTGTATTTACTTTAACACCACAAACCACAATTGAAATAATTTTCTGTTTCTTAATCAGGTGTAAAGAAAACCTTCCAATGTGAGCTTTGTAGCTATACTTGTCCCAGACGCTCAAATCTTGATCGTCACATGAAGAGTCACACTGATGAACGACCTCATAAATGCCACCTATGTGGAAGAGCTTTCAGGACTGTTACCTTGCTTAGAAACCACCTCAATACTCACACAGGTTAGTTTCTGGGTTGGTATGTGTCATACTGACTTCATTTTTTTTCCAGTTGTCTGATTTTGTGTGTATTCAAAATCATTTTTGTGTTATTTGTGTGTATGGCTTATGGAAAAAAGATAAAACTTTACTATTAGTATTTCATGCTTAAAATAAAGAAATTGAACAGTAGTTTTTGTACTGAACAAAAAGTACTATTCTATTGCTTCAACCACGTAAAATTATTTTTATTTAAATGTTTTGTTTTTGATACCCATCTCATCTCAAAATTACATTGTGAAATTCTGAATAGTTTATTGAATCGGGCTGTGCATACAAAATTGAAGGTCCACTTTTTGCCAGCTCCGTTGCCCCCAAACACAAATGGCTTTAAGAAGCCATTAATCAAAAGTGAAAAACGTCTTCTTTCCCTGGCTTTTGGGAGGTATTGATGACATCATTGTGCCTCCCCTCCCGGTAGTGTTGCATGCTTGGGATCCCATGAAAATGCACTCCAGCCTTTTGCAGGAATTCACACATTTTAGAATGTCAATCATCGAGTTCTGGGAGGCACTGTGACGTAACCCACGCCTCCTTGAAGCTGCGTAAGCCAGGGCCTATGTACATAATTTGGGGAGAGGAAACTTAATGGCCTTTTAAAGCAGTTTGTGTTTGGAGTGCAGGGTGTTGGCAAAAAAAAGCAGTCCTTCTGTTTTCCATGGAAGCTCCAGTTTCATTGAATGATTGTATGCGTTTTTTTGTAAAAATTCCTGTCCTGTGTGACTGACCTTTTTTTTTTGCTTGAATTTTTCATTGGATACATGATTTTTGGTACACACTTGATGATTTAAAAAACTTTTGTTTTTAAGGTACCAGACCTCATAAATGCCCAGACTGTGATATGGCCTTTGTAACCAGTGGTGAATTGGTCAGACATCGCCGTTACAAACATACACATGAGAAGCCATTTAAGTGTTCCATGTGTGATTATGCCAGTGTTGAGGTAAGTTGTAATGCCCTTTTCCCTGACCACTGTTTCTCTCCCCAGCTGCCGTCTGTCACTGCCTGCCTCCTCTGTCACTGCCCGCCCGCTGCCTCCCTTACTGATGTAGTTTTCTGGGGCCCCCCTTCTCTCTCTCTGCGCCCCCCTTCTCTCTCTCTGCGCCCCCCTTCTCTCTCTCTGCGCCCCCCTTCTCTCTCTCTGCGCCCCCCTTCTCTCTCTCTGCGCCCCCCTTCTCTCTCTCTGCGCCCCCCTTCTCTCTCTCTGCGCCCCCCTTCTCTCTCTCTGCGCCCCCCTTCTCTCTCTCTGCGCCCCCCTTCTCTCTCTCTGCGCCCCCCTTCTCTCTCTCTGCGCCCCCCTTCTCTCTCTCTGCGCCCCCCTTCTCTCTCTCTGCGCCCCCCTTCTCTCTCTCTG